AGCTCTTTCCAGCACCCATAGCAGAAGAATATGGGTGCAAGTACATCATGGATGTATTCTGAAAAGTTGCATACTAATTGAATTCTGATAAATGGAATTCCTTAAAATGTATTACAGGAATGTGCCATCGTTATTTCCCACCCAGGTAATCTCCTAGATCTCATGATCTCCAGAAACTCATCATTCTGAAAGATGAATTCAACCCTATAACTCACACCTCCTCAGATCATTTTCCCATCCTGGCTACAGCACTTCAGCAGGACCTCATGCCCAGCCTCCTCCTTCCCATAAGCTTCTTTTTATATATTGTCTTCCCCCACTGCTTTTTTGAACTCCTAGAGGGCGGAGTCTGTGATGCCTTTGTATCCCCAGCACTTTAACACAATGTTTATTGACTGTTGACTCTGATTCTGCCATTTAAAGATGTTCTAGTATAAGTCCTTTTATAAAACAAAAAAAACATTGTTCTGTTCAATAAGCAGAATTATCTTTTGTGCCAATCTGGAGAATCATCTATTAGGTTACTTAAAACAGGGTACAATCAATGCATTATTAGAAAGCAAAGATGTGTATCCATAGGCAGGAGTCTAAAGGATGAGTTATCCCACACTCAACTTCTCTGTAAACCAAGAAGAAATGAAAAGCCTGACATAAGTAAGTTGTTCAAGAAGAAGGGCAGTAGGAATTAGCCTCTCTTGATGAGCCATTTATGAGTCTCATGCTGACTATGTTCCAAGTGATTATTTTCAAGACTTGCTTGTGTGGAGGAATGTTGGGTGCATGTTCTCCTTCTGATTATGTAGAAAGACCCAGCTGGAATCATGTAATTCCTAAGAATTGGATCAGAGTTGGAATCGCCCCACACCTATCAGATTGGCTAATATCACAGAAAAGGAAAATGATAAATACTGGAGAAAATGTGGAAAAATTGGGACACTAATGCATTGTTGGTGTAATTGTGAACCTATCCAACCATTCTGGAGAGCAATTTGGATCTATGCCCAAAGGGCAATCAAATTGTGCTTACCCTTTGATCCAGTAATACCACTACTAGGTCTGTATCCCAAAGAAATAATAAAAAAAGGAAAAGAACCCACATGTACAAAAATATTTATAGTAGCTCTTTTTGTGATGGCAAAGAAATGGCAACTGAAGGAGTGCCCATTAATTGGAGAATGGCTGAACAAGTTGTAGTATATGAATGTAATGGAATACTATTGTACTATAAGAAATGATGAGCAGGAAGATTTCAGAAAAACCTGGAAAGACTTATATGAACAGATGCTGAGTGAAGTAAGCAGAACCAGGAGAACACTGTACACAGTAACAGTAACATTATGTGATGATCAGCTATGATAAGACTTAGCTTTCCTCAACAGCACAATGATCCAAGACAATTCCAAAAGACTCATGATGAAAGATGCCATACACATCCAGAGAAAGAACTATGAAGTCTGAATGCAGACCAAAGCATACTATCTTCACTTTTTCTTTTCACTTCATGGTTTTCCCCTTTTGTTCTATTTCTTCTTTCACAACATAAATAATGTGGTAATATATTTAACATGATTGCACATGTATAACCTGTTATAGATTGCTTGCTGTCTTGGGGAGGGGGGATGGGAGAGAGGGAGAAAGAAAAATTTAGAACTCAAAATCTTATAAAAATAAATATATCTTAACATGTAATTGGGGAAAAAATAAAATTCTATTAAAAAAAAAAGAATTGGATCAGAGTTTTGGCCAGGACTTAGAATGTCTCCTAAGCAGAGTTGAAACTAATGTTTCTCATACCACAGATAAGCTTCAAAAAACATGAACCAGGACAAGCAAGACAAAATATGACCACAAATTAACTTTGAAAGACAAATTCAGTTGCAGGAGTTGGAAAGACGTAGACTCTGGGACACAGCTTCATAGAAAGGATGGATATAGAATACTACATATCGTGTGGAACTTGGTTGATATGTTTGTTAGTTTTGTTGAACTGTTTTTCCCCCCTTTTATTTGTTATAAGGGATGGTTCTCTGAGACAGTGCGTTAGAACAATATTTTAGTTCCCACTCTCAGGTGATTTAGGTTAGTTTTTTCTTTCTTTCTTTTTCTTCTTTATTTTATTTTTAAAAAATTAATTTATTTTTCGTTTTCAACATTCACTTCCACAAGATTTTGAGTTCCAAATTTTCTCCCCATCTCGTCCCTCCCCCACCCCAAAATGGCATGCATTCTGAATACCCTTTCCCCTAATCTGCCCTCCCTTCTATCTACCCCCCTTCTTTTATCCCTTTCCCCTTCTATTTTCCTGTAGGGCAGGATAGATTTCTATACTCCATTGCCTATTTATCTTATTTAGGTTAGTTTTTTCTTAAAAAATATTGAAGCCATCCTTGAGACTTGATTGGCCCAAGAAACTAAAGGTTCAGGTTACTAACCTCACTTACTGGTGGCATGAGTACAAAGAACCAGGAAGAACTGTAAGCCCACTCTGGTGCTTGGCTAGTGGACCACCATGTGCAGTGACCATTGTGCCCCGGCATCGTGTCCTCAAGTTCCCTTGAACCTTGGCCTAGATGAATCAACTCTGAGTGTCCTTAGTTTATAGCTTAGTTGGATATCCTTCTCATGCTATGGCCAAGTAAATCTCCTTTTGTTAACTGTTAAATGACCTACAGTCTCATTTTTTTCCAGTAAAATAAATTAAGATGTAAAAAACAGTTATTATTATTATTATTAAATATTAATATATTAATCAAATTATTTGGTAAATGTTAGTTGTCTATTATGCTCTTTGACCTTGAGTTCCTACTGCCAGCCTTTTACCCCAAGAAAATCAAAGATAAAAAGAAAGATTCACATACAGCAAAATATTTACAGTGGCACTCTTTGAAGTAGTAACAGATTGTAAACTAAGTAGATACCTATTAACTGGAGAATGGCCAAAGAAGTCATGGCACATAAATATCCTAGGTTTGGTTCTAATGATCTGGGAAGGCTTGTGTTTGATTGAAACTTGAACAGAGATTATTTGGATAACTGGTAAGGTCCTAGAAGTTTCGTCAGTTCTTACAAACTATGCCAGGGTTCGTAAGTTGTGAGTCCTTTCACACAAGAGTTCAGACAGCAAGATCTTAAATCTAATGGGAAGTCATTTTCTCACAGTGGCAGCTTTAGTTTTGGTCCCTTCACTTGAGAAGACATCATACTCAAGAGCAAAATTTGCTCTTAAGTCAAATGCTGAGGATAGCCAGCAAGGAGTAAGGTCAATGAAACATCAGAGTCAGATAGCTAAGAACCATTTTTCTTATCACCTTGTTAGAGTACTCTGCCCCAGATAGGAATAAATGAACTGGGGCTCTTTGAGGCCAGGGTATTTGGGGAATTTTGTCCTCCATGGAAGACATTTTCTTTTTCCTTTCCCAATATGAAACTCTTATGTAAATCAGGAAATTGTTTGTTTTTTGGTCCCCCCCCCCCCACCAAAGAGTATCTTCAGGAGAATGAAATTCTTGCCTGGCTCTTTTTATTGACTGTGTCAACAGGCCAGCTTGGCTGGGTCACTTTCTCTTGTCTCCATGGCCATTTTGCTTACTTGTCATCCCAAGCTGAATTTGGGACTTATCCACTAGAGTCCTATTGATTCAGCTCATTCATTCCCAGCTTACTTTCAGTCAATCAAAAAACATTGCATTTGTCCTATCAGGAGTTATGGGTATTCTGCTCATATTATTTTGTGAACATTTAATTTATTAGATATCTTCCTTCCTTTCCTTTCCTCAACATTGAGAAGGGATAGAAAGATTCAATAATTCTTATATTAATAAACCAATAATTCTTGATATTAGTAAAAGATTGAGAATAGGCTCAATAAGTCTTTATCAATAATAATCAATAACCTTATCAAGGTTACTCACCAATGTCTGCATAAGAAAATCCTTTTCATTTCAATGAAATTCAAGAAATATTTATTAAGGGCCCACTATGTGCAAGTTATTGTGTTAGGTGCTGGGGATGCAAAGACAACATTTTTAAATGGTCCTTGCCTTCAAAGAGTTTATATTCTGCTGGGGGAATAGTAGTACATGTAAGTAGATAAGCAAAAAAAAAAAAGAGTTTTAGAAGGAGAAAGCAGTAATAACTATAGAGATCAGGAAAGATTTGTAATAAGGGTGGTAACTGCATTGAGCTGGAAAGAAAGCTAAGAAATGACTATGAGGAGGGTGGAAGGGTCTGCAGACATGCATGGTAGAAAGCCTGTGCTGAGAGCATGAAGGTAGGAGATAGAATGTGAAGTATGGGAGATTGTAAGGACACCAGTTTGGCCAGCACATAGAGGCCATGAAAAGGACTAATGCAAAATAAGTCTGGAAAGTCAGGCTGGCATCAGACAGTGAAGAGTTTCAAATGCCAGGCTAAGTTGGTATTTTATCTTGGGAACAACAGGGAGTAATTGAAGATTTTTAAGGAGGAGAGTGACATGGTCAGTTCTATGTGGAGATTATTCTGGCATCAATTCCTCCAAGGGCCTGACTTCTTTAAACTTTATTACACATTGGTGCCATATGCCAGTAGGCTTACACAAACATGATTTCCCTGTATTGTTTCAATCTGGGCCGGGAACAATTTTCATTAATGGAAAAATGGTCCTCAAACACACTGATTAGACCTCTTCAGGTACAAGAAGATAAAAGCCTGATAATTTGAATGGAGTACTCTTCTTAAATGTCTACTCTATCTGTGGCAGCCAATGGGAAAGTCAGGCTTTCTCCCACCTGATCCAATGAGTAATTAAGAGAGTTTAAAAAAAAATCCCGAACCCTTAACATGCTAGTGGTATACTGTGTGGACTTTAAGGGGTATCAGAGAAGGAAATCAAGACAGAGCAAGGGGCACAACCTGACCAGCTGGCCAGCTGCTTCAGCTTGGGCTTGATCAGTAGAGGTAGGTGAAGAAGGAGTGGAGTGTGAGGCTGCCCGAAGAAGTTGGTGAAGAGCAAAGCCACCATGAACGACCAGGGTTGTAAGAATGCCAGTGACTGCACGGTTTCCCGCCTGCTCAATGTGGTGGAAAGTGAGCTCCAGGCAGGGAGGGAGAAAGGGGACCCCACAGAAAAGCAGCTTCAGATAATCCTGGAGGATGCAGCCCTTTGGCAGAGATTCAAGGAAGTCACTAATGAAATGATCGTGACCAAGAATGGCAGGTGAGTTGATCCTCTGCCTTGTTCTGGCTGGGCTGGGAGTTAAAATATATCTTGAATATTGAACAGGGTGCATGCAGCCTTTCAAATGGGAACAGCGTGTGAGCTGATTAAACAAGGTCATGAGAATTGTATCAAAGTGCCCCCCTTTAGCCTCCCCCTCCCTAGCCCCAAGCTAACATAATTAATTTCTCAGGCAGCATTGCAAAAACCTGGGAGAAGATAGTAGGCTGAGTAGTTAGTCACCTCTTTGAGCTGAGTTGAGTAGGTTTGGGGAAATTGGACAGGACTGTCTATATTAGAAAGATATATTGTATTATTCACAGCCCTGGGCAAATTGCTGGGAATCTTACAAAAAAAAAAACCCTGTTCATATTCAATACACTTTGAGCAACCTGTAATGTTCTGGTTGAGAGACAGTTGATTAGGTGTAAGTCGAAAGTCAACTGGGTATCGAACCTAGAATGTTATCGTCTGAGTGAGGCAAGCTGTGTTAGCATTTTCCAGCTTCCTAAGAATGGAAAGAAAGAACAAGAGGAGTTATTCTTGTATCTACTTTTCCTGTGTCTGAGGTAAGTGTCCATTGGAGTTACTTCGGAGGGTGTGTGCTCTTCGGGAGGGTACGGTTTTTGTAATATTTGACCAAGTTCTAAAATGCCAAATTGTATCAGGTAACAAAATTGGAGATGATCCTTTATGGTGTGGTTCAAGGAAGACTCATTGATTCTTCCATTCTGTCAAAATCAGTCCTCACAGGGGATTTCAAGTGAGAATAAGAAACTTTCACCTCATGGAGATAAAAGCATTATGAAGACAAATAACTAGCTTGTTCAAATGGCAAAATTGGCATCCGTTTTTTAGCTGATGAGCCATGGGTGTACCTATGGACTTGAGAGCCTCAGAAATGAGGAAGCATCTGTGTCTGCAAGAGTTTTGGCAGTTCCTGGGGTCAGGAAGAGAGAGAGACAGAGAGAGAGGTAGTGTTGGCTAACAGAAAAATTAAAATCAACTAAATATCCAATTGGCTGCTTTTCCTTGAGCGAGATACCTACATTTTTGGCTTTTGCTTTATTATATGTATGTATGTATATATGTATGCATATTTATTTATGTAGGTACTTGTATATATAAATAAAATAATTTCTTCCTTGTGCCCTAGTAGAATTTTGGAACTCAAAATATTATTTGTGACATGAAGGTACTTCCTAAGGGAAAGGAATGAGCCATCTTTGCCAATGGGAATAATGAAATCAGGGCAGAAGGAACAACAGCCAGGAATTTAATTTAATATTTTTGTTCTCTACACATGGTTAGAAACTTCATTGACTCTCTTCCCTTATGTAACTATTGGATTATTTTAAACATTTGTATTTAAGTTAAGTTAATAGCCTCTTTTCCTCTTTGTTGATCTGTGTTCATGCACAGTGCCTCAGACATTTACTAGCTGTGTGTCTCTGGGTAAATCTCTTAATATTTCTCAAACCTCGATTTCCTGATCTGTAAAATATAAGGTTGTGAGGATCAGATGAGATAATAAATGTAATTTTTTGCTTTCCCTTATTGGAAAGAAATGGAAATCTCTTTTTGAACCTGTAAGGTTCTTATTCTAATGGTAGAGACCCCTGCCCTCCCCCAGGTATTATATATAGAACCTGACAAAAATTACAAATATTATATCTTTTGATCTTCACACCGTCCCTGTGAGGTTGTCCAGATGATGATGACAACTAGCATTTATGTAGTGCTTTAAGGTTTGCAAAATGCTTTACAAATATTTCATTTTATTCTCATTTAGCAGTCATAATCAGTCCGGTTTTACATATGAGGAAACTGAGGCTCAGAGACATTTGAATGATGACCAAGGTCCCACAGATGATCCAAGATTTCAAATCCTACTCTTTTAATTTAATATATTTCTGGGGTACCTCCACTGCCCAGGTCTCACAGAGAGAAAGAACTATTAGTTCATATGTTTCAGCAGAGAATGAATAAGAATATTTCACAAACTACTAAAAATAATTTAAATGTTAAATTCTTTACTGGCATAAACTTTTTCTATTGATCTACGTGTGGGCAGATCTCTGGCAAGTCTGTTTTCTTGTGGCCTCTGCACTTTCTTTCTTCCTCCTATCAGTTATGTCCTTTTCTCTTTCTATCCCTCTCCATATCCTTTCAGGTCAGGGCTTTGGTAGCTGGGACCTGGATTAGATGGGTTCCTCTGGCCTTTTCTCTCAATGAGGATTTATGTGGTTAATTACATATACATTTATATAGCACTTAGGTTTGCCGTTGCTGAGTCATTTCAGTCATGTTTGACTCTCCTCAACCTTATTTGTAGTTTTCTTGGCAAGAATACTAGAGTGGTTTGCCATTTCCTTCTCTAGCTCATTTTATAGATGAGGAAACTGAGACAAACAGAGTTAAATGACTTGCCCAGGGACACACAAGTATCTGTGGTCAGGTTTGAACTCAGAAAGATGAGTCTTCCTGGTTCCCTGCCCAGTTGCTCTATTCACTGTATTACCTAGCTACCCTTAAGGTTTGCAGATTACTTTTTCAAAAATGATCTCGTTTTATCCCCATAATAAACCTGGGAGGCAGATGCTATTATTATACCCATTTTATGGATGAGGAAACTGAGGCTAAAGGCAGTTAAGTGGCTTGCCCAGGATTACACCGTTCATAAGTGTCTGCAGTTGAATTTGAACTTAAGGTCTTCCTGACTCCTGATGAAAGAGGGAAAAATCAACTTCAGGCATCTAGGTGGCTCTGTGAATAGAGTGCTGAACCCATAGTCAGGAAGACCTGAGTTCAAATATGGCCTTAGGCATCAGCTGTGTAACCCTGGGCAAGTCACTTAATTTCTGCCTCAGTTTCCTCATGTATAAAATAAGGCTAATAATAGATCCTACCTTGCAGGGCTGTTGTAAGGATCAAATGAGTTAATATTTATAAAATGCTTTGAGAGCCTTGAAGTTCTATATAAGTGCTAGTTATTATTGTTGATATCACTTCCTTAAAGTAGATGATCTTTTTGAGTCATGAATGGGCATAGCTTGATTCCATAGTGAAATAAGGGTCAATTTGACTCAGAGACTGAAAAAGTCAAACTTTGCTGCTCCTGGGCTACTGGTTTCTAATCCCAGCTTCGAGCTCCTTGGCAATTTACTTTCCTCTTCCATGTCTGTTTTCTCACTTGCTAAAACGGGATAATTCCCATTTTACACTACAACATGTAAGGAATGGAGTAGGAATAGGGACTGGACCTTAATTGAATTAGTTTAGGTAATTCTCAGGTGGGCAAACTCAGCCTTCCCATGCAGGCCGGCACCTTCTCTAAATTTATAATCTTGGAGAGTTGCTTAGAGTCCTGAGAAGTTAAATGACTACCCCAGAATTCAGAAGCGGCACTTGAACCCAGGTGTTCCTGGTTTGGAGGCAGGCTCTTTAACCACTGATTCTCTTTTCTATGAGGAATAACTAATCAAAACAATTATAAAGTGCTTGGCAAATGAAAGAAAACAGCCCCTTGGTATTGAGGGAAGAGTACTGGTTTGGGAGATAGAAGAGCTGGGCCAGAGTCCTGATTCTAGCTTATGCGCTATGCAAGTCACTCACCTTTCCAAGCACCATTTTCCTCACCTGTCAAATAGATGAAGTCATATTTGTACTCCCTCCTTCCTTCTAGATATTGTTGGGATGAAGGGGCTTGTCAACCTTGAAGTTTTATGTAAAGATGAGTAAAGCTATGTTACATGTATTTTCTCACGTGTAGTTTTTAGGGTGGTTCTTCTGAATTCCAGATGTAGTCCTTTGAGCAAGTGAGAAAGGAAAAAAAAATAGAATGGAAATGATTCTGGTTAAAGGGAATGCTATATCCTTTGAAATACCTGATTTCTCAGCATAAAGGTATATAAGGGGTTCCAAATAGACCAGCAATAAGTTGAGCCAAATATTTTAAGATCTAAATTAACCACTTTATTTAAAAAATTATTTTAGTCTTCATTTTTTGAAAATTTTCCACCCATTGAGAAAACGAGCAATGTGATATCAGTAATACATATGAAGTCATGTAAAATATATTTCCATATTAGTCATATTGCAAAAAAAAAAACAGGAAACAAAGAAAGTGAAAAAAGTCATTTTCAATCTGCACTCAGTTTGTCAGTTCTCTCTGTGGGGGGATAACATTTTTCATCATGGGTCCTTTGGAATTGTCTTGATCAAAGTTTTTGTTCAATTGTGTCCAACTCTCTGTGACCCCATTTGGGGTTTTCTTGGTGAAGATATTGAAGTGGTCTGCCATTTTCTTCTCCAGCTCATTTTACAGATGAGGAAACTGAGGCAAACAGGGTTAAGTGACTTGCCCAGGGTCACATAGCTACTAAGTGTCTGAAGTCACATTTGAACTCATTTTCCTGACTCTAAACCCAGTGTACCACCTGGCTGCTTGATCATAGAAGCTATGATCAATTTCACAATTGATCATTGTTACGATATTGCTCTTATTAAAAATTAGACACTTTATAACAGGGTTCCACCATTCCATGTGCTGCCCAAGGCAAACTGTTACATGAATTTAACCCAATTCAACAAACATTTACTGCTATGTGAGAGGGAGCTGTAACCTGGTAGAGAGAGAGCAAGTCTCCCATTACTCATGGACAGTTTGAAAAAAGAATATTGTGGCTTTTCCTTTAAGTGTGGTTCAGCTTGATTGGCTCTAGAGAAAATTCACAAATGAAACTGGAAGATTAGAAGATATAATAATAAATATATAGCTCTTTTAATGTTTGCAAGGTACTTTACAAATATCTCATTTGATTCTCACCTTGTGAAGTAGGTGTTATTATAATCACCTCCATTTTACAGATGAGGATACAGACAGAGTATAAATGACTTTCTCAGGAACACAATAAATGTCTAAGGATGAATTTGAGCTCAGTCTTCCTAATTCCAGCTCAGCACTGTCTCTACTTTGCCACCTAGTGGTCTTAGATTGTTACTTAACCTAAGGTTACGTCTAGTAAGAACTAGAGCTGATGATACTCCAGACCAAATCTTTTTTGAGTCCAAAGTCCAGTGCTCTTTACTATCAATATTCTTTTTTTAAATTCAATTTTCATTTTCTATTTCAAATTCTTTCCTTGTCCTCTCCCCCCCACTTACTGAGAAGGCAAGAAAAATGAAATGCATTATAAACATGTATATATATGTGAAACAAATTTCTGCACTAGTCTTCTTTAAAAAAAGCAAGAAAAAAAAAGAAATAGAAGAAAATATACTTCAGTCTTCCCTCTGAGTCCGTTAGTTCTCTTTCTGGAGGCTGATAGTGTGTTTCATCATGTGTCTTTTGGTATTGTGGTTGATCATTGTGTTAGTCAGAGTTACTAATTATTTCAAGGTTGTTTATCTTTACAATATTGCCATTAGTGTATAAATTGTTCTCCTGGTTCTGCTTATTTCACTTTGCCTTAGTTAATACAAGTCTTCCTAGTTTTTTCTGTAACCATCTCCTTCATCATTTTTTAGGGCACAACTTTTTAGAATATTCCATTACATTTGTATGCCA